TCTGTCCCCCTGCCCCGGCCCTGGTGTTCGGCCTCTGTCTCCGCCCCGGCCCTGGTGTTTGGCCTCTGTGTCCCCCCACCGCCCTGGTGTTTGGTCTCTGTCCACGCCCCCCTCGCCCTGGTGTTTGGCTTCTGTCCCCCCGTCCCGGCCCTGGTGTTCGGCCTCTGTCTCCGCCCCTGCCCTGGTGTTTGGCCTCTGTGCCCCCCCACCGCCCCGGTGTTTGGCCTCTGTCCCAGAACACATCCCCGGAGGCTGATGACCCCAGCAGCAATAAGAATGGAGCGGCCAGTGGCGAGGGGCGCTGGAGCCCACATCCTCCCACGCCCTCCTGCCCTGGCCCCAGGGTCCCAGCACCTACCGGGGCAGGAACTTGAGCTGCACGGAGTAGGAGGACTGTGCTTGGATGTAGCCCGTCTCAGGGAGGAGCTCCAGGTGGGCCCTCAGCTCCGTGCACACCTCGAACCTCAGGCGCAGAGCAGCTTTCGATCTGTGGACGCACCGCAGGGCACTGGGTCAGGCGCCACAGCTGTGACTGTGCCTGCTCAATGCTTGGAGTTACGAAAACATTCCTAATACCAAAGCCCCCGACAGGTGCCCAGAGCCCCCCCACAAGCCACGCACGTGCTCCTCGACAATCAGTCTCCAAAGCCCTGCTTTGTAAGGGCTATATTTTCTGAAATGAAATCTGATGAGGAATTCTTAAAAATAACCACAGTGAAACGGAAGCATGGCCCTAATCGGCTCTAAGGAGCTGGAGTGCTTTCCGGGGAGAGCACCTGCCAGGCAGCCCCTGGGGGCAGGGCCCTGGAGGGCACACGAGGGGTGCAACCGCCTCCCTCAAGGCTCTGCCTGCCTCCTGCGCAGGGTGTCCCCACAGCCTGCAGCTCAAGCATGGGGCACGTGGGGGCCTGGGACGGCCACAGGCCTCAGTGATGATGGCAGCTTCCAAGTCAAGACCAGCCCAAGAGAGCCGAGGTGCCCAGCAGTCACCGGCAGGCCCTGCATCTGGTCTCCGCCTCCGGCTCTCTCAAGCCAACAGCCACCTCAGGACCACCGGGACCTCCCTGTTCCCACAGTGAAGGCCCCGCCCCTCCCTGTCTTTGAGCCTCTGCTAGGCACAGTGGTGTGGCCATGCTACCACAGCCACCCCAGGCAATCCACGAGGGAGGATGTGAAGGGTGCGGCAGCGGAAATCTCTTCTCCCTCTTATGCTTCGACGTGACAGCCACCCATGCTGTGGTAGCCCCGTCTCCGTCCACCTCACACCTGCCTCTGACCTCAGACCCCTATCCAGAGGCACTCACAGTGTGTCCCAGCACGCTGACCGCTGCACCCTTACTGCTGGGGCCCCATGTGAGGCGGGCACCCAGGTGCTCAGAGACCCTGCCCTCCCTGTGCAGCAGACGCTGCTCTGCCTTCCAGTTCCCTTGCAGGGCCAGAGTCTGTGCAAACCAGCACGTGGCTACACTGAGGTCATGAAACCACAGCCGGAGACCACTCACAGAGCTGCAACCACAGCGCCAGAGGCCACCCACAGAGCCACAACCACAGCCCCGGAGTTCACCCACAGAGCCGCAGCCACAGCCCCAGAGGCCACCCACAGAGCCACAACCACAGCCCTGGAGGCCACCCACAGAGCCACAACCATAGGCCCAGAGGCCACCCACAGAGCCACAGCCCCAACCCCAGAGACCACCCACAGAGCCGCAGCCACAGCCCCAGAGGCCACAGCCCCGGAGGCCACCAACAGAGCTGCAATCACAGACCCAGAGGCCACCCACAGAGCCATAGTCACAGCCCCAGAGGCCACCCACAGAGCCACAACGACAGCCCCCGAGGCCACCCACAGAGCCACAACCACAGCCCTGGAGGCCACCCACAGAGCCACAGCCAGAGACCACCCACAGAGCTGGGCCCCACCCAGCACCCAGTGCCGGACAGATACACCAGGGCCCTTTCTGTCATGTTTCCAAGGCCATCAAGAGGCTGTGGCAGGACAGATGCCAGAGGTGAGCAGACTTCACAGCAGCCATGACGCTGACACCTGCATTGGCTCCCCGCCACCTGCAGGCTGCACATTCCTGGCCTGTGCAGGGGCCCACAGGAGTCAGACAGCAGGAGGGAGGTGCTGCGGGAGCTGTTCCTACCCAGGTCACCCTTGGCAGTGGCTGCCCCTGGGGCTGGGGCCGGGGCCGGGGGCCTCCGCATCCGTGCCATGCTCCTGGTGCTAGAGCACTGGGGCTCCATCTTGGAGACCCTGCAAGCCCAGCCTCGCCTCTGTCTGCCTTTCCCGCCGGCGTGGCTCCTCAGGGCAGGCTGCTTGCTCTGGTGTCTGGAGCCCTCGCCGCACTCTGCACGTGGAAGCTTCCTCCTCTGGCTCTGGGTCTCCTGCGGCCGCTCACCCTGCCTGTGTGCATGAGGGGCTGAGGACACTGGCCGGGCCCAGGCGGGCAGTGCATTTCCCATGGCTGCGGAAAGGACTTGCCCCAGTGGAGGACCCCAAATCAAAGAGGCGCATTCCTTCTCTCCGCATCCTGGAGGTCAGAGGCCAAGATGGAGCCCACAGAGCTAAGGCCCAGCTGTGGCAGTGCTGTGCCTTCTGCGGCTCTGGGGAGAGGCTTATTCTCTCCTTTCACAGTCTCCAGAAGCTGTAGTGTCCTGGCCTTGGGGCCCTTCCGCTGTCTTGGAAGCCAGCCGTGTGGTGTCTCCACATCCGCCTGACTCTGACCCTCCTGCCTCCCCCTGAGACGGCCCCCATGATGACACTGGCACCTCCCAGGTGACCCTGGGTCACCCCCACCAAGGTCACTCTGCCCAACCACGTCTGCTGAGCACTGCCTTGCTACAGAGGGTGACGTTCAGGGCCTGGGCAGCAGTCGTGGCCACCCCAGGCACTGTGTCACCGGGGGGCTCACGGCTTGTACACGTGGGTAGGGGGCTCACCCTCTGTGCCCAGGCTGGCAGTGGCTCACCGCGTGTGCAGGGGTGGGCGGGGGGCTCACCCAATGTGCAGGGGCGGGCGGGGGCTCACCGCGTGTGCACGAGTACAGAGTCCTGGTAGAGCCGGTCATACATGCAGATCTTTAGGTCCACGCTGGGCCTTGACACCCAGACTGGCACATCGATGGCCATGCCCATGACCCTAAAATGCAGCTGAATGTGGACACATGAGCTCAGCAACAGGTAGTTCCTTGGGCAAAGCAGGCGGCATCAGTGAGCACTGACACAGCTCCCAGCAGGAAGGTTTCATGGGCTTCAGCTTCTCTGACTCTTTGGGCTGCTGTGGCACATTTCATACCATTTAAAATGTTTTTTTTTTTTGAGACAGCCTTGCTCCGTCGCCCAGGCTGGAGTGCAGTGGTGCAATCTTGGCTCACTGCAACCTCTGTCTCCTGTGTTCAAGCAATTCTCCTGCCTCAGCCTCCCAAGTAGCTGGGACTACCGGCACCCGCCACCACACCGGGCTAATTTTTGTATTTTTAGTAGAGACACGGTTTCGCCTTGTTGGCCAGGCTGGTCTTGAACTCCTGACCGCAGGGAGTCCACCCACCTTGAACTCCCAAAGTGCTGGGACTATAGGTTTGAGCCACCATGCCTGGCCAAATATTCTTTTTCTTTCTTTTCTTTTTTCTTTTTGAGACAGAGTCTTGCTCTGTTGCCCAGCTGGAGTGCAGTGGCGTGATCTTGGCTCACTGCAACCTCCACTTCCCGGGTTCAAGTGATTCCCCTGCCTCAGCCTCCCGAGTAGCTGGGACTACAGGTGTGTGCCACCACACCCAGTTAATTTTTTTGTATTTTAGTAGAGACGGGGTTTCACCATGTTGGCCAGGATGTTCTCCATCTCCTGACCTCGTGATCTGCCTGCCTCGGCCTCTCAAAGTGCTGGGATTACAGGCGTGAGCCACCGTTCCTGGCCTCTTTTTTTTTTTTGAGACGGAGTTTCACTCTTGTTACCCAGGCTGGAGTGCAATGGCGCGATCTCGGCTCACCGCAACCTCCGCCTCCTGGGTTCAGGCAATTCTCCTGCCTCAACCTCCTGAGTAGCTGGGATTACAGGCACGCGCCACCACGCCCAGATAATTTTTTGTATTTTTAGTAGAGATGGGGTTTCACCATGTTGACCAGGATGGTCTCGATCTCTTGACCTCGTGATCTGCCTGCCTCAGCCTCCCACAGTGCTGGGATTACAGGCGTGAGCCACCGCGCCCGGCCTCCTGGCCTCTTTTTATTTTCAGAATATTCAAATATTACTAGAACAGAATACTGGATCACCAAGGACCTACCACTCAGCTTCATACCAATTAACATGTTTAGGTGTTTAGAAAAAACCTTTTTCTGACCGAGCACGGTGGCTCACACTTGTAATTCTGCACTTTGGGAGGCCAAAGTGGGAGGACTGCTTGAGCCCAGGAGTTTGAGACCAGCCTGGGCAGCATGGCAAGACCCCCATCTCTAAAAACAATACGAAAACTAGCCAGGCATTGTGGCATGTGCTTGTGGTCCCAGCTACGTGGAACACTGAGGCGCAAGAACCGCTTGAATCCAGGAGGCAGAGGTTGCAGTCAGCCGAGATCGTGAGATCTGCTTCGCCCCAAGCACTGACTCCTGGGGCCTCGGGAGGATGGAGAGGATGAGTGAGGCTTTGGGAGGGCTGCCAAGCCCGGGCCGGGGAAGCGCAGTAGCCCAGCAGGAAGCCGCCTACGCAGTGGTGCTGTCCTGGTGCTGTGGGGTGAGCCGAGGACTCTGGACACTTTCAAGGATGCCAGAAGCCTCCGCCTGGGACAGGCGACCGCCCCAGCCCAAGGGGCAGAGCGGGTATGTAGGGGGTGCAGAGGAATTTTTAAACATAGAAAGTTGTCGCCTATGGCCAGGCGCAGTGGCTCACGCCTGTAATCCCAACACTTTGGGAGGCCAAGGCAGGTGGATCACTTGACGTCAAGAGTTCGAGACCAGCCTGGCCAACATGGCAAAATCTGGTCTCTACTAAAAACACAAAAGTTAGCCAGACACGGTGGCACACATCTGTAATACCCAGCTACTTGGGAGGCTGAGGCAGGAGGATCACTTGAGCTCTGGAGTTAGAGGCTGAAGTGAGCTGTCATCCTGCCACTGCACTGCAGGCTGAGTGACAGAACGAGATCCTGACTCAAAAAAGAAATGTGCGTGTAAGGTCTCTGAGTGTGTGCATGTGCACATGTGTGTGTAAGGGCTGTGTGTACATGTAAGCATGTAAGGGCTCTATGTGTACATGTGTGTGTAAGGGCTCTGTGTACATGTGTGTGTAAGGGCTCTGTGTGTGCATGTGTAAGGACTTTGTGTGTGTGCATGTGTACATGTGTATGTAAGGGCTTTGTGTGTGCATGTGTGTGTAAGGTCTCTGTGTGTGTGCATGTGCACATGTGTGTAAGGGCTCTGTGTAGATGTGAGCATGTAAGGGTTCTGTGTGTGCATGTGTGTGTAAGGGCTTTGTAAGTGTGCATGTGTACATGTGTGTGTAAGGGCTCTGTGTAAATGTGCTCATGTAAGGACTCTGTGCATGTGTGTGTAAGGACTCTGTGAGTGCATGTGTGTAACATGCATGTTTTTGGATGGGCATATGTCTGTGTCCCTGTGCCTACATGTGTATGCCAGCGTGCATGTGTGCGCACTCATGTGTGTGTGTTGTGAACTGTGGTGCCAGCCATCCATGCCACCAACTGGCCATCCAAGCATGGGCAAATGGTGACCTTGTGGCCAAGGGCAGCCCCTGCACCAGGCTGCGGAGGGAGGGGCCCCCTGGGGTGATGCGTGTGGCGTGGCAGCAGAGTACTCACCGTTGGGCACTGGTGGTTCTTAAACGTGACCTTGAACCTGGCTTGGATGTCTCCTGGGACCATTGGGGTGAAGATGATGGGCACCCTGATGGAGCTGAAGGGGCCAATGTCCCCCTGTGTTATCTGCACGGAGGAGATGCCAAGGGGTCAGCCAGGCTTCATGGCTTTCAGGATCCCCTCCCAGCCCTCACAATGGCGCACAGTTGCAAGGCTGGAAGGTGGTGGGACCCGGGTCCCAGGGAGGCCACTTGGCCACACAGGTCCTGGGCCTGGCCCAGCCCTTGGAGGACTTACTGTCGTGGGATCTCAGCCAGGGGAGCTGGAGGCAGCCTGAATTTCCCCCACACCCTCCCCTGCTCAGGAGCTTATGTGTCTCAGCCAGGGAGGCCACTGCCAGTGTCTATCCCGTTTCACCCAGTGCCCCACACCCGGGAAACACTCTGTGGCTCTGTTCCTGCACTGCCCGGCTTGGGGAGGGGGTGGCCCCCACGCCAGCTGACAGTACAAGACGCCTGGGGTCTGCAAGTCCCCGGTGGGCAGAGCCTGGCCTATCTCTGGTCAGATGGAAAGGCGACCTCGGGGTGAGGGCCAGTGGGTTGGGGTGCAGCTGGGGCTGGGGGAAGGCGGGTGGTGTCTCGGCTTGCTGCAGGTATATTAAGGCCTAAGCAGGCTGGGCCGGCTGACCTCCCCCAGTGTTATCTCCGTCTGTTCTTCGCTGGGCGGTATTGTCGTGGTTAATCTCTCTGCTTCTAGAAGAGAAGGGGCATCCAGAGGTGAGGGTTGTCGGGGGAGGCAGCGCAGCCCAGGCCCCCTTGGGACATGGTCACCACCCCCAAACCCATACCATGGGCTCTGTCCTTCCTGAACACGGTGGAACCGTCCATGAGGTCCCTTGGGGGACCAAGGCCCAGAGAGGGTGCAGCCAGTCCCCAGCGTGCCAGGAGGGCTCAGGAAGCCCTCTCCCAAAGAGCTCCATTTCCTCACAACCTGCCAGCCCCAGGGCGAGGGTATTAAATGCTGGAGTGGGAAGGACAGCTAAGTCCAAAAAATTCTAACAATATCATCTTTTGGGGATTTTTATTCTCTCACGATCGTAACTGGTCACCTAAGTTCCCACAGCTGCAGGTGTGTGTTCACTACAGGCACGAGCTGCTGGCATGTCCAGTCAGCGCCTCCCCATGGCGGGCTCCTGGTCGCCACGTGCCGCTGGGCTCTGGGGGCATCGGCCTGGTTTCTGCCGCTGGGCTCTGGGGGCACCGGCCTGGTTTCTGCCGCTGGGTTCTGGGGGCACCGACCTGGTTTCTGCTGCTGGGTTCTGGGGGCACTGGCCTGGTTTCTGCCGCTGGGTTCTGGGGGCCCGGCCTGGTTTCTGCCGCTGGGTTCTGGGGGCACTGGCCGGCCATTGGTCAGCAAGGTCCTGGTAGCAGAGCAGCTCCCTCGCAAGTCTGAACAGCACTTTTTGCTGACTTTGCACCTGAACAGACGTCATTCGAGAAGCCACGTGCAGGTGGGCGTTCTCCTTTGGCCTCTGTTGCACTGCCAGGTGGGGTCAGAGCAGCTGGGCTGCTGGCCAGGCCAGGTCACCATGGGGAGCCCTGGTGAGCATGCCAGAGCAGGTCCTGGGCTTAGGGTACGGACTAAGCCCAGGGCTCTTCAGGAGCAGACGACGACTCTGAAGCAGGCATCACTGCTGGGGTCTGGAGCTGTAAAGGCTGCAGGGCCCCTGGTTCTTTTTTTTTTGAGACGGAGTCTTGTTCTGTCCTCCAGACTGGAATGCAATGTGCGATCTTGGCTCACTGCAACCTCCACCTCCCGGGTTCAAGTGATTCTCCTGCCTCGGCCTCCAGAGTGTCCGGGATCACAGGCACCCGCCATCATGCCCAGCTAATTTTTGTATTTTTAGTAGAGATGGGGTTTCACTGTGTTGGCCAGGCTGGTCTCGAACTCCTGACCTCAAGCCTTGGCCTCCCAAAGGGCTGTGATTACAGGTGTGAGCCACCGCGCCCGGCCAACGGCCCCCCGTTCTGACTGTGGAAGGGGCATGGCTGGGTCAGCTGCCCTCCACTGTGGCTGCCTTGGGAGTCACCACTGCCCAGGTGGTCAGACTCTGGGGTCAGCAGCTATTTTGTTTTTAGAGACGAGGCCTCGCTCTGTTGCCCAGGCTGAAGGGCAGCGGTCCAATCACTGCTCCCTGTAGCTTTGACCGCCTGGTTTCAAGTGACTACAGGTGTGTACCACCATGCTTGGCTAATTAATTTTTTTTGTTTCTGTTTTTGTAGACAGGGTCTTATTACGTTGCTTAGGCTGATCCCAAACATCTGGGCTCAAGCAATGCTCCTGCGTTGGCCTTCCAAAGTGTTGGGATTACAGGCATGGGCTACCACGGCCTGGCCTCCTTTTCTAGTATTTTCTTTTCTTTCTTCCTTTTTTTCTTTCGGCAGGATCTCACTGGTACTCAGGCTACCACGCAGTGGCGTGATCATGGCTCAGTACAGCCTCAACTTCCCAGGCTCAAGTGATCCTTCCAGCTCAGGCTCCTGAGCAGCTGGGACTGTACATGCATGTCACCATGACTGGCTAATTTTTTTTTCTTTTCTTTCTTTCTTTATTTTTAAAGATGGTGTTTCACCATGATGGCCAGGCTGGTCTTGAACTCCTGACCTCAGGTGATCCACCCACCTCGGCCTCCCAAAGTGCTAGGATTACAGGCATGAGCCACCGCGCCCGGCCCGACTGGCTAATTTTTTTTTGTAGCGATGAGGTCTCACCATGTAGTATTTTTCAATGTATTAAGCATACTTATTTGATTTTTGATGTCTGATAATACCTGTATCTGAATCATGCAACACTGCAATACTTTCTTTCTTTTTTTTTTTTTTTTTTGGAGACAGAGTCTTCCTCCCTCACCCAGGCTGGAGTGCAGTGGCGTGATCTCGGCTCGCCACAATCTCTGCCTCCCGGGTTCAAGCGATTCAAGTGCCTCAGCCTCCCAAGTAGCCGGGATTACAGGTGCCCGCCACCATGTCTGGCAAATTTTCTGTATTTTTAGTAGAGACGGGGTTTTGCCATGTTGGCCAGGCTGGTCTCCAACTCCTGACCTCAAGTGATCCGCTTGGCCTCCCAAAGTGCTGGGATTACAGGCGTGAGCCACTGTGCCTGGCCAACTGTAGTACTTTCTGTTCTTTCTGTGTGAGTGATTTTTCTCTATTTTTTTTTTAAGGAATAAGTTGCATATAGTAAAATGGACTCTTCTTAGTGTAACTTTCTGCAGTTTCGACAAATGCACGTGCTTGCACATGCATCACGGCAATCAAGACACTGAGCAGTCCCCTCCCCCCACACATCCTGGGCCCCCTTCTAGTCAGCCCCTCCCCCTGCCCCAGCAACCGGTCATCTATTTTTTTTTTTTTTAAAGACTGGGTTTCTGGCCGGGCGCGGTGGCTCACGCCTGTAATCCCAGCACTTTGGGAGGCCGAGGCGGGTGGATCACGAGGTCAAGAGATCGAGACCATCCTGGTCAACATGGTGAAACCCCGTCTCTACTAAAAACTACAAAAAATTAGCTGGGCATGGTGGCGCGTGCCTGTAGTCCCAGCTACTCAGGAGGCTGAGGCAGGAGAATTGCCTGAGCCCAGGAGGCGGAGGTTGCGGTGAGCCGAGATCGCGCCATTGCACTCCAGCCTGGGTAACAAGAGCGAAACTCCGTCTCAAAAAAAAAAAAAAGACTCGGTTTCACCATGTTGGTCAGGCTGGTCCTGAACTCCCGACCTCAGGTGATCTGCCCGCTTTGGCCTCCAAAGTGCTTGGATTACAGGCGTGAGCCACCACTCCCGGTCCGGTCATCTATTTTCTGTCTCTATAGTTTTGCCTTTTTTAGGAAAAATATTTATTTTCCAGAATGTCACAAAGATGGAGTCACAGAGCTTGCAGTCTTTGTGTCTGAGTTCCTTCCTTTTGCAGGATGCACTGGAGACCAGCCCACGCCACTGCCCCTCTCAAAGGTCCACGCCTGTTTGCTGCTCAGAGGCGCCGCGTGGCAGGGACCCCACAGTGTCTCTGTCCACTCCCCAGGTGTGGGATATTAGGGTCTTTGGTTTTCGCCGATTGCAAATAAGCCCGCTACAAACATTCACATGCCGGTTTTCACGTGAATCTCTTTTTGCTTCTCTTGCTGGATACCGAGGAGCGGGCTTGCTGGGCGTCCGGCTCTGCTGCTGAACGTTTCCCATTCTGCGCTCCCGGGGGCGGCATCAGGGTTCCAGCTGCTCCTCACCAGCGCTTGCTAGCGTCAGGCTTTTCGCTTTATAAAATCATCAGATCTCATGAGAATCGACTCACTAGCACGAGACCAGCATGGGGGAAGCCGCTCCCACAATTCAACCACTTTCCTCCCTTGACACCTGAGCATTACAGAGCCCTCTCTCCACGCGTGGGGTTAGTTTGAGATGGAATCTGGGTGGCGACACAGAGCCAGGCTGCGTCCGGGGACTTATGCTTCTCCAACTGCCATGGCCTCACTTGTTGAAAAGATCGTTCTTTCTCCAAGCAATTATCTTTGCCCCCTCTGTCCAAAACCAGGTGGCTAACATTGTGTGTCTATTTGTGGACTCTCTTGTTCCATTGGGTCTCTCTGTCTAGCACCACATTGCTTGTCACTGTACTTTATAGTGACCTCAAAATCAGGTAGTGCAAGTCCTTGACGTGTTTTTCTTTTGAGCCAGGGTCTCGCTCTGTCGCCAGGCTGGAGTGCAGTGGCGCGATCTCAGCTCACTGCAGCCTCCGACCTCCTGGTTCAAGCGATTCTCCTGCCTCTGTCTCCTGAGCAGCTAAGTTTTGTATTTTTCGTAGAGGTGGAGTTTCACTGTGTTGGCCAGGATGGTCTTGATATCTTGACCTCGTGATCCACCCACCTCAGCCTCCCAAAGTGCTGGGATTACAGGCATGGAAATTTTTTTTTTTTTTAAAGTTGTTTTGGTCACTTTAGGTCCTTTGGATTTCCATATAAATGTTACAATAAGCTTGTCAATTTCTGTTAAAAATCTTCCTGGAATTTTGGTTGGAATTGCATTGATCCATAGTTAGTTCTGGGAGACTCCACATTTTAATGAAGTCTTCCAATGGCTAGTTCCCACAGTTCAGAGACTCTGCTTGATGGCCAGGTGCGGTGGCTCATGCCTGTAATCCTAGCACTTTGGGAGGCCGAGACGAGGGTATCGCCTGAGGTCAGGAGTTTGAGACCAGCCTGGTCAACAAAGAACTTGGTGGGCTGGGTGAGGTGGCTCACGCTTGTAATCCAGCACTTTGGGAGGCTGAGGTGGGCAGACAGGGTGAGTTCAGGAGTTCAAGACCAGTCTGGGAGACATGGAGAAACCCTGTCTCTACAAAAAATATAAAAACTAGCTAGGTGTGGTGGCGTGTGCCTGTCGTCTCAGGCACTAGGAGCTGAGGCAGGAGGATTGCTTGAGCCCGTGAGGTCGAGGCTGCAGTGAGCTGTGACTGCACCACTGCACTCCAGCCTGGGCGGCACAGCGAGACCCTGTCTCAATAAAATGGATTGAAAAAGAACTCACTTTGATATAAGCTAGTGCCAGCGAGGCTGGCTACGCCCTGTGATGCAGGTGGGAAACCCCAGCACATGCCCCGTGGGAACTCACACGCCACGGGAACTCACACACGGGCTGGAGCGGGGTGCAGTGTGGCCGTGCACGCAGCAGTGTGCACCACAAATGCTCCCAAGCGTGCGCTGGAGGGAGGAGGATCTTGAACCTGAGGCTCGCTCAGGACAGGAAATGCCGCACGCACGGGGTGAGGACAGGAAGGGCGACTGGCGTACGCCGCGGTGAACCGGCCAGCTCCAGGGCGAGGAACACGCAGGCCACAGACACACAGGAGGAGCCGGCGGTTCCCAGATCTCCACTCGTTGGAAAACTTTCCAGAGAGGTGAGGAGCAGACGCGAGCGCTTCCCGGCAGCGGAGGGGTGGAGGGTGGGCGGCGCAGGGGCGGCAGGGCCCTCCCGTATCTCGGCACCCCTTCCCGCTGGTGCGAATCTAACACAGCTGCAGAGGTAGACAGAAGCCCCCGAAGTGCAGCCCGTCCAGAGAGCACCAAGGAGCCTCTTCCCACCCGCGGGCCGCCTGCTGGGCCAGTGCTGGAGGATGCCTTCGAGCATCAACGCCTTGTTAGCGTCAACGTGAGTGCACATTTCGATCCGCTCCAAAACAACACTTAGTGGCACATATGAACGTTTTCTTGCTTGACCATCACTTACCATCGAAGGCCTGGGAAGGTTCTCTACTTTCCAGCCCTCCCCTGGCCTCTCAGGGCCCTGGAGTGCTGGCCTGGGGCCCTCACTGCCGGCTCACCTTCGGGCTCTGCCTCCCCCTGCAACTGGTCCAGCTTCTCCGCCGCCCTCCGGCTCTGCAGGTCCACCTGGGAGAACTCGTTGCCCTCCAGCGGCTGCTCAGAGATGCTGGTGGCGGCTTTGTCGTACACACTTTTCTCCTCGTAGATCAGGAGGCTGCTCTAGGGAGGGAAACGTAGCGTCCAGCTTCGATGTTTCCCACCTCCTTTTCCTGTTCAGCGGCCAGGACTCCCGGGACAGGCATGGGGGCCTGGGGCCTGGCTCCAGTGTGGCCCCTCAGCTGCCTCCTTGCTGACCCCACCCCGTCTCACCCTTCCTGGTTGTGGGTCACAGTAGCAGCTCGCCCAGAGGCTCAGGGTCACCCCTCAGCCTCCCTCCCTCCCTCTAGGCCGGGTGGGCAGGGTTGCGCTGCCCCAGTCTGAGAGTGTGGAGCCATGTCTTCCTCTTGGTCCGACCCGCCTTTCTCCCTGGCTGGCTGGAGGCTGAGCCTTCCCTCTGCCTGAGCCCTGGGCCACCCCTGCCTGTGACAGGACAAGACACACTCACATTTGGAACAGGTGCAGCTACAGCCATGGAGTGCACCTGTCCAGCCCTCCCACCCCCACACCTGGGGCTTCAGAGGCCTATCAGGGGAGGCTGGGTCTCCTGGGGCCCTCAGGCCTGGAGCTGCTGGCCAGCGCCCCTGCCACTGCATGCCTGAGAAAGGGGGTGTCCTGCTGCCACCGCTCCTGAGGCCAGGTGACCGCAGGTGTCCTACGGAAGCTTGCCTCTCCTGCTTAGGCTGGTTTGAGGAGACCCGGCACTCCTCATGTCCTCCCAGGCCCACTGCAGACACCCTCATATCATCACCCCTGTTCACCCACATGGGACTACATTTGGGGGATGGGGCCCCACACTCCCCCTTGGCCGAGCGCACACTCACTAATTTCAGGATGGAATGGGAGTTGTCCACCTCGCAGGGCTCTGAAGCTGGCAGGATCTTGAAACTCGTGCCCAAGCCCCCGACGTTGGTCAGCGTGATGGTCCGAGACGTGGTCTCTCCCACCACGTAGCTGCCGAAGTCGATGAGCTCCTTGTCAAGGGACAGCTGCCAGAGGACACAGAGTGAACCCAGGGCCACATGCCAGGCCACAGGGAGTGTGAGGCCTGCGCGTGGCTCCAGGCAAGGCTGTGGCCAGCATTTGTGTGTGCCAGGCACTGCACAGCCCGGTGTGCAGTTCAGTCCAGAAGTCAGACGTGTCGCTTGTGACCAGGTGCACACGCGGGTCTGGTTTTAAGAACATCAAGCGGGAACCCGCTTCCGAGAGTGACCGGGTTCACTGGGAGGACGCAGGGCCCGGACAAGGAGATTGGGCACGGGGCTTTGGAGGTCCTGAGCAACGGTGTCACTCCTGGGAGAGATCAGCCATGCTTGGGATGCACGTACCCAGGGCACGTCCTTCCAGAACGGGAGCACGCCCTCCGTGGCGGTGCCTCACCACACCTGCCGTGGGCCACGAGCCACAGAAGTGTGGGTCACTGGCTAAGGACGCAGGCTGGGGCTGAACCTCGGCTCTGCCCAAGGGCCCCCCTCGAAAGGCTTTTCTGGGCTCTGAGTTTGGGGGTCCGGGGACTCCCTACTCTGTGCTCCTGCTCCAGAAGCAGGACTGGGGGCTGCCAATGCAAATGGATGTGGTTGGCAGAGAGTGGCCGGGATCCAGACAAAGGAGGCCGCCTCCCTCCCTCCTGCACCGCCGGGGTCCTATTCGCCCCTTGCTCAGACGGGGGTTTTACTGTTTTGTTTGTTTGTTTTTTTAATTAAAGACGGGGTATGGCCGGGCGCGGTGGCTCAAGCCTGTAATCCCAGCACTTTGGGAGGCCGAGGCGGGTGGATCACGAGGTCAAGAGATCAAGACCATCCTGGTCAACATGGTGAAACCCCGTCTCTACCAAAATTACAAAAAATTAGCTGGGCATGGTGGTGCGTGCCTGTAATCCCAGCTACTCAGGAGGCTGAGGCAGGAGAATTGCCTGAACCCAGGAGGCGGAGGTTGCGGTGAGCCGAGATCGCGCCATTGCACTCCAGCCTGGGTAACATGAGTGAAACTCCGTCTCAAAAAATAAATAAATAAATAAATAAATAAAAAATAAAGACGGGGTTTCACCGTGTTTGTCAGGCTGGTCTTGAACTCCCGACCTCAGGTGATCCTCCCGCCTTGGCCTCCAAAGTGCTTGGATTACAGGCGTGAGCCACCACGCCCGGCTTGTTTGTTTGTTTGTTTGAGACAGAGTCTCACTCTGTTGCCCAGGCTGGAGTGCAATGCTGTGACCTCAGCTCACTGCAACCTCCACCTCCTGGGTTCAAGTGATCCTCCTGCCTCAGCCCCCTGAGTAGCTGGGACTACAGATGTCTGCCACTATGCCCGGCTAATTTTTTTTTTCTATTTTTAGTAGAGTTGGGGTTTCACCATGTTGGCCAGGATGGTCTAAATTTTGTGACCTTTTGGTCCACCCGCCCCAGCCTCCCAAAGTGCTGGGATTCCAGGCGTGAGCCACCTTGCCCAGTGGGTTTTTACAGCCCCTGACCAGGACGCTCCCCTGGAGAAGCAAGGCCTTGCACAGGGGAGCCGAAGGGTCGGGAGAGGCCGGGCTGCTTGGCCGGACACCCGGGGCCACGCCACACACGTGCTCCCTGATGTGGATCCGGAGCGGAACCGGCCAGCACCAGACTCCTGCTGCGCTCCCAGGCTGAGCAGGAAGGAGCCGAGGCCCAGCCGTCTGCGGGGCAGGACTCCTTGGTGCCTCCGGCCCTGGGGCTCCACGTCCTGGGCCTGAGTCTTGGTTCACCACCAGCCTGCACAGCGGAGTGCCGCCCCGACCGACCGTCACCGCTCGGAGGAGAAGGCAGAGGCCACGGGGCAAGGGGTTGCTGGGGCGCCCTAGGGCGGCGGCAGTCCCTGCAGGAGCCCAAGCGGGGCTGCAGCTGCCAGGGCCATGGCGAGGCCACTTGAGTGCCAAGAGGAAGGGACACTGAAGTGACTGGAACACACCAAACACGTAAGCATCAGCGAGTCCACGAAGAAGCAGAGAGAAAAAAGCCGCCAACAGTGACTGTCATCCCCGCCCCTCCCCACAGCAACAGCAGTGAAGAAGGAAGATGGAGGGTTACTCGGGTGCTCATCAAAGGTGGCTCGGAGGCCGGGCGCGGTGGCTCACGCCTGCAATCCAAGCACTTTGGAGGCCAAGGCGGGCGGATCACCTGAGGTCAGGAGTTCAAGACCCGCCTGACCAACAAGGTGAAACCCTGTCTTTAAAATAAATAAATTAATAAATTAAAAAAAAAAAAGGTGGCTTGGGGGCAGTGTGGCCTGGGTCACGGGTGACCGTGAGGGCGCCTGCCGATCTTGCTGGGCGGACACAGAGCTTGGTCTCTGCCCTTCCCCTGCCCCACTCGTTGCTCCTCTCCCTGCTCCCCCGTCGCAGGCCCTGGCCGTAGGACCTGCCTTAGCCCATGAGTTCTTAGGAGATGCGACGTCCCCACCAGCCTCCGGGAGATGCTCGTGCTGCCGTAGCCGCCGCCCTGGAGTCTGGCCTGGATGGGGTCGGCCGCAGGGCCTCACGCTCACAGCTGAGCCAGGAGCCATTTGCCACGTGGCAGGTCGGGTGCAAGCTAATTACTCAATGATGAGTGGGTCCCTGGTTTACTGGAGATGCACGCTGACGTGTCTAAGGGTGGAGTGTTGAACACTACAATTTTTTTTTTTTTTGAGATGGAGTCTCACTCTGTGGCTGGAGTGCAGTGGTGTGATCTTGGCTCACTGCAACTTCTGCCTCCTGGGTTGAAGCAATTCTCATGCCTCAGCCTTGAGAGTAGCTGGGATTACAGGCACACGCCACCATACCCAGCTAGCTTTTGTATTTTTAGTAGAGATGGGGTTTCACCATGTTGGCCAGGCTGGTCTTGATCTTCTAACCTCATGATCTGCCCACCTCGGCCTCCCAAAGTGCTGGGATATAGGTGTGAGCCACCGTGCTCGGCTGAGTGTTGTTACGGTTTTGCCAATGTACTTTGAAGTGGATCAGCAACAACAGATAGAGCAGTGGGTGGACAAGCCGCGGTGTCCG